GTGCGTCTCCCTTTGGCTACATCGCGCGTGCGGACTCATGATGCGACTTGTGATGGCCTTGAGGGTTGCCTAGTCTGTTCCTCTTTCTTGGTTTCTGTACTGTCATTTGTTTCTCAGGAAGTACAGACGGGGGAGCTGAGAGTTCCTCCCCTGGACTGCAGCTCAATCTGAGCCAGGCTCGCGGCTCCAGGGAGCTATAATCAGACCTGAAAGTTTGTACTCGTAGTCTTTTGCGCCCTGCCGTGCTGGGACTGGATGACTCTTCGCTTTTGGGTGCTGTGTTCTTGCGGTTGTACATCTGCAGGGGACATGATACACGTCAGCCTTTCGCTGCCAAGCAGACATTGCACGACATACTCGAGTTGCCTGGACAGACGTATTCAAGAACTTGTATTGATGCATTTGCCCCTCATGTGTAGACGTTGACGTTAACTCTTTCCACAGACTGGTCAATGGTCTCGTCCTCATTCTGTTCAACCACTTTCTCTGAGCCCATGGTTGTGACAGCACTCCCGAGCTACTGTACTTCCCTCGAATTACTTCTACTTTTACCTGTGGGGTGGTCCATAAAAAGGGCTTACGCGAACTCCTGATTGCACAGCCCAAACACAATACTAATGCTGTAACAAGACTAAGGGCCCAATTTTTGTGTCAGCATAGAAACTGTTTTGACCTGACTTAAACCGTTACCATGGTCCAAATTTGATTCAGCCGGTAGTACCTCATAGGTTGCTGATCTGTCACCAAGTGCTTGCTCATGGAACTGTTGGATCTCTGTAAATAATGTAATAAGGAGTTCGGTCTAGACCTGCTCTATTTTGCAAAGTGTCCTGAGATAACTTCTGTTATGATATGGCGCTATACAAATAAAATTGAATTGAATTGAATTGATTGGTCTGAACCATCGTCATATGAAAGATGGGCATCGCATTGCCACTTTCTCCTACTGTAGAAAAATGAAGCCAAAATATCTGGGATATGGCCGCTGCCCTATAACCTATACTAGTCAGCCACCAGGGGGCAATCAAGATGTTTTGGCTTCACTTTTGGAGAGCTGTCATGCCCTCCATATTTATATATGTCGACGGTTTAAACCATTGTGGTTTGGACACAAGCGCATTGCTTGAAGCCTGCAAAGATGGATTCTCGCTGGAGTTCAGTTGCATACCGAAGTCAGAAAAAAAAGTCGGCAGACAAATAGCATCTCCGTGAGGTTTAGGCACAGTAATGGTGTGAGGTAAATAATGTCAGGATGCTAACATGTTCAATGACAATGTTGACATGTTGTTTAGTGTGGCTGATGGCACTGTCATTAGTATTGCAGGTATTTGGTCACAAACCAAAGTGTCACTAAAGAAAAAGTCAGGAGATCACCAAGTGAGTTGGCTTGGGAGCCATTAATATCTTGCAAAATTTTATCCATTTAACTGTTGTTAGATAGATAGCAGACTGACCCTCTGCCACTAGCATGACTGAAATGACAACAAACACCATTGTCACTAATTATTTAATTCCAAAATTTAACAGTTGTTATGAAACTCATAGAGCCAATATTGGCCTGCAGGCTGAGGGCAGCAGCAAGCATAGCTAAGAATAGCTCCATCGTGCTGCATCATAGCAGTCTCATTATTTGCTGATAATGAGTCCCCATGTAGTTGAGTATTTTAAATGTGAAAGGTCAACTGTTTCTTGTCATATTCATGACATTAAGTCTGAGGTTAACATTGTCTGTCTATATTTTTTCTAAATGAGATAAAAGCAGAATTACTGGTATGTTGTCCTCATCTGGGAACTCCCTAGGAAGGCTGTCCTCTGGAGTCTCTGTGCGGATTTCCACAGGTGGAAAGACAGAGTTTGGCAGAAATGCCATTGTGTCATCCTGCTCACAAATGCGACTCAGTATTTTGCCTTCCAAAGCTGAACCGAAACAAACAAAGAGGTAACATAGTTAGAATATTTGTCTTTACAGATTGTACTCATTACATGAGATCATAATAGGTGGCTAGATATGTAATTAACTAAAGCAGTAATCATGTTTTACAGTGTTTGACTGGCTGACTAATCCATGTGCAGTGACACTGTTGACATGCCATGTTTAAAGCAATTTATGCCACCTTAAATGTCAAACTGCTGGGTTGAACTACTTGTTTAACAACTTTGATTCTCAAGTGACTTAATGAGGAAACATCAAGCTCAGCAAGCTGGAAGTAGGGGGTGATGATAATAACTTCCCTCCTACTCAGAGCCTATAGGTGGATGATGGGGTGGAGGGGCTTTGAGATGCCATATTAACAGCAGCAGCAATAGTAGCACAGATTCCAGACATGTGCATGATGTTTGTGTTCAAATTTCAGTTTTAAATCTGAGAAGGGGTGCAAGTTTGGTACAAATCACCTCAATAAGGTTAACAGAAAGGAAACCAGTGCTGTATTGATAAATTCTTTGATAAAGGTGTCAGCATGCCAATGTGGCTATAATCAAGTGTAGCTGCTGTTTATCTGAAGTGTGAGACGACATGCATGCTTACTGGGAAGTGTCCTGAAGTCATCTATGAGGTAGACGTGCTCTTCATCAGGATCAGAGGCAATGACGTTCATCTCAGCCTGGAACTCTTCATAGAGAGGGTCAGTCTTGTTCACAACTCCAATAGCAAACATCTCTATCCCTTCTGCGTGGGCCTCTGTTGCCATTTCTTCAAACTGCATGGTGTCACGGGGGTCAGATTGCCCATCTGTTAAAACAACAGCAAGTCTCCTCACGCCAGGCCGGGAAGCCTGGAACAGCTCGTTGGCACGATGGATGGCGCTGCCCGTGAAGGTGCCCTCACCCAGGTAAGGCATCTTTCTGACAGCTGCCTTGATATCCTCCTGGCTGGACTGCTGCTGCAGACTGACCACCACCATGTCCACGTGGCTGTAGAGCACCACACCGATACGACTGGCTTCTCGGCCCACCGATACCCGGTCGATGAGAGCATTCACAAAGTCCTTCACCAACTCAAAGTTTTCTGGTCCCACACTCTCGGAGCTGTCTATCACAAACACCAGCTCCAGAGGACTCTCTCTGCACTTGAGACCACAGCCTAGGACACAAAAGTAAGTCATAAATTAGAATGGTAAAAAAAAAAGAAAAACTGCAGGGTACATTACTGATGACTGAGGATTAAACTACTGCAAAACATGATGAAATAATTTACCACAGATTTCCCTTATAATCCTGATGACTTCTTCTCTCTGTGAATAGAAAAAAAGAGGACAAAATAATTTAGTTGATGTTCAGGTGTAAAGCTCAGTGTAATTTGTGCCAGTCATTTTACTCACTGTCAGCCCTGGTCCCCCCTTTTCTCCAGGCCTCCCCTGTAAGATTTAAATCAGATTATGAAGTTGAATGATAACATAGTGTCGAGCTAATCTATGTAGTAACTGGTGACCTTTGACACTACGAGTCTAGAAAGTCAGAAATGTTCAAATCCTACAAATAGGGACGTTACGAACACTGTAATAATTTTTGGACTATTTGATCCTAATGATGTTAAATTCAAACGTGTCAGCCTGAAAATTGCTATTTGGAGCCTGTATTTTTGAAATGAATACCAAATATTCAATCTGAACCTTCTTCTATAGATTTCATTGACATGAAATGAGAAAGATATCAGTGCCTAAAAGAAGAAAAGGAAATTGTATTAACTATGTTACCATCGCTC